ATGAGTTCTGGCCAGAGACTCAACTAAAAGTACTGAGGATTCTGGGAGAACTCTTCCATCTTGTTTGCCACTTCCTGCCTTGAACAAGAATGCAATGTCTAGAGACGTGGCAGCCTTTCTGCAGTCATGAGGAAAAACCCAAGGGAATCACAGAGGATACCAACTTGTAGTCCTAATATCACTGTGCTGCTGAACCAAGTCAGCAACTGCCTAACTCCACACCCCTGTCATGAGGAACCTATTTGCTTAACACACTATTGGTCAGGTTCTCAGTTACAGCCCAAAGTATTTCAAACTGATATGATTGGCAAAAGCTTATTTGTGCTTTTGTGCTTGGATTGACCCTAGATATTGACCTTTACCTGGGTAAAATAACTAGCAATCCAGTGTGAGGAGAGAAGCTCCCCCTGAGAAGTGGGAAGGGAGATAATGTAACTCCATTATAATCTGTTCTCTCCGTGGAATTTTTTCAGCATTTAGCAACCTCTGCAGCATTTTTGGCTACAAAGGAGAGTGAGAAATACTGTTTAGCCTTATATTCAAGGACCCATATAACTAACACAATGTGATACCAGGTTTACTAAAGCACAGAGGCCCCAGGGTTATGAGATCCTTATAATGAGCATCCCCTGGGAATCTCTGGAGGCAGGAGGCAGCGTAATAACACTCTCCTTGCTGTCTCCTTCTCCATCTTGCTCTGCCTTGAGTCTCTGGGGGTTTTACCGGGAAATTGCTTGCAATCTATTCTGGTCAGGCATCATGCTACATGAAAGATCTTAAGGAAGCAGAGTAAGAAAAGATTTAAGCTACACAAAAGTAAACAAAGATTTGACTGGATTTATGTACAAAATGCAAACAATAATAATAATAATAATAATACAAAAGAAAAATAAAACTTTTGTTTCAAACTCCCTGGTTTTAGTGACCAGGCAACATTCCAATATCCCACTTTACAGGTACTGTGAGACTTTGACCTCAGTGATTTCAAACCCACTGTGAAGACAAACCCCAACTGTATTATCTCCCACTACTTTTAGATGGGAGTAAAGGTCTGACTACCATTTGTATTTTTGCAACATTAGAAACAAAATAACTTACTTAGTAACTATTTTATTGTCACTTATAATGCTTCCTTTGGAGTCATTTGTCTATATAATGTTTATTTTATTGCCACTTAGAAATCCAGCCAATTATTTGCATCTTGCAGGCTCTTAACCCATACTTCCAGAAAACCAAGAAGTGTTGATGGATAGAAATCCAATGTCAGAGTGACAGCAGCAGTGTAGACTGGCATATCAGATAGGAATTGTGTCCAACTACTCATAACAGAAACAGGTAACTGTCTCTGAAAATGATAGAGGTTTATTTTCCTCTCATGTAAAGAAGTTTGGAGGCATTTCAGAGAGTCCATGTCCCAAGAAACTATGATCTTTCTACCTTACTGTTGTTTTTATCCTCAAGGTTGCCTCCAGTTACAAAAGAACCATAGCTGTTCCCACCATTGCATCCACACCCCAGGCAGCAGAGAAGAGTGAGGACGAGAAGAGTGTACTTGGTAGCTGAGTCATCCCTCCTTAATGGCTCCCACAGGACTCTGCCCAACTCCTTCCACTGAAATCTCATTGGCCAGTCCCACAAAGGAGGCTGGTGCTATGGTCTGAATGTTCATACCCTTCCAAAATTCATAAGTTGAAGTCCTAACTCCCAGTATTAAGGAGGTGGGGAATTTGGGAGGGACTTAAATCATGAGGGTAGCATCTTCATGAACGGGATCAGTGCCTCATAAAGGAGGCTCTGGAGAAATCCCTTGCCCCTTCTACCACCTAAACAGCAGAGCGAAGGTGATGGCTCTATACCAGGTAGAGGGCCCAACCATGCTGATGTCTTGGTCTTGGATTCCTAGCCCGCAGAATTATGAGAAATACATTTTTGTTTTTATAAGCTAACCAGTCTGTGGTATTTGTCTAGAACAGCCCGAACAGATAAAGACAGCTGAGAAACCTAATTTTGGGCTGGGTACTTTGCCATCCTTCAGGTTGTGTTTATAAAGAAGAGGAAACTGGCAACTGGCAATTTCTGCCACAGTTGGCAGAAGAAATAGAGTCCTTCTAGAAAGTGTGTGAGCACATCCAGATCAGTTTATTCCACAACATCATGCGAAGTAAGCAGATCACCCTGATGGAGGAGATGTGAATCATGGAATCAGAAGTTAGCACATTGATGACTTCTGGTCTCTCAACCTCTGTTCCCCCAAAGAAACTAAGATCCACCTTTCTCTGGGCAGTTATCGAGAAGACCTTGCGTTTAAGCCTACATAACCTAAAATGGTCTAGACCTGGGGACATCAAACCACAGCCCATGGGCCAAATTTGCCCCTCCACCTAGTTTTGTAAATAAAGTTTTATTGGAAAATAGCCACACACATTTGTTTATGTGTTATCTGTGGCTGCTTTCATGCTACAACAGCAAAGTTCAATAGTTGCTGCAGAGACCTGGCCCACAAAGCCTGAAATATTAGTTTGACATTGACTAGATTGCTCTTTCAATCTTCTCAACCTATGCCACTCTCCTCCACACCTTGTCTTGAAAATCACAGTAAAACTGGGGATGAACTCACTCACATCACCTGCCCCAAGTCTATAAAGGTATAGACTGACTTCGTCCTCCCTCCCCCGAAGGAAGGGAAAATCGCCTCCCATCTAAGGATAATCTCCACCTACAACACAAATTCCCACCCCTCTTCAACCCTCAGCCATCAGTTCTGCCCCTTTCCTCCCCTCCACCAGCTCCTCTTTTTAGTTCATGAATCTGCAGCGGCCCCTCCACCCTAGACCGCCTCTAGCTCTCTCCCTGCAGAGCCCAACTACCTGAAGGAGTCTCACACTTCTCCACTTTCCCACATCCCATTCCTACTTCAGTCCACTGCGGTCTGGTCTCCACGGAGCATCCTCTCAGAAGCACTGCCAACCTGACTGCCAACTTCAACTGTCACTTCTAGTTTCTATTTCACTTTGCCCAGCAGTTGACGCTATTGATCATTCTTCCTTCTTGAAACTTCTCTCTCAGTGTCTATGCATCTACTTTCCTCTGTCTCCCTTCCTCTCAGGTCTGACCTATTTTGCCTCTCCCTTGTCCTCTGCCTGCTTTTTTTTTTTTTTAATTTATTTATTCATGAGAGACAGAGGGGGAGAGAGAGAGAGAAGCAGAGGGAGAAGCAGGCTCCCAAGGAGCAGGGAGCCCGATGCGGGACTCGATCCCAGGACCCTGGGATCATGACCTGAGCCGAAGGCAGACGCTTAACCATCTGAGCCACCTAGGCGCCCCCTCTGCCTGCTTTTTAAAATGCTGCTGTTTCCCAGGATTTGACCTTTTATCCTCATCATGCTCTCATGCCATCCCATGGCCATTTCAGCCACATCCACTGACAGAATGATGACTCCCAAATCTTTATTTTAACTCATGCACTGTGCTAGCTTCAGAGTCAGATTTCAAATTTCCCACAAAATGTGTGCACTTCAATGATCTACAGACACCTCAAGTTTAATGCTCCAGAACCAAGTTCATTATCTTTTCCTCTTATTCCTTGCCTCAGGAAATCATACCACCATTTCCCCAGGTCATTACCTTAGACTCCTCCTCACACTCTACATGGAATCAGCAGCCAAGTCCTGTAGACTTTCACCACCTTGACACGCCTTGCCTCTCTGTTCCCTCCCTCACCTCCATTGCCATGGATACCACCTTAGTCCAAGACCTGGTCACCTCCCATTTCCACTATTGCAGTTACCTCTTAGCTGATTCCTTGTCTCTAGTCTTCCTCCCCTCCAACCATCCTCCAGATAACTGTCAAAGCAATCTTTAAAAATTGGAAATCTGAACTTCACACTCTAAAAAACCCTTTGGTGGCTCCCCATTGTGTGCAGGTAAACAGCAAACATCTTAGCATTTGAGGTATACACTGGCCCTGCCTGTCTCTCCGGCCTTGTTTCTAGTATTTCTCCACCCCTTTAAAATCCATTCTGCATTTATACCCACTCACATTCCCCAAACACCCTATGGTTTTCTGTCCCTGTGCCTTTATACATGCCATCCCACGTTAAGGAATACCTTCCCTCACTTGTTGGCCTAGAGAAGTCCTGTTCTTCCTTGTAGAGTCACTATGGTGAAGCCTCACATAACTACTCTCACCAGAGTGAAACAGCTTGCATCTTTCTTTGTATAATCTGTGCAAAACCCAAACAGTGTCCATGTTGAATCATGATGCAACTCTTTGCTTTCAGAACTGCCTCTCCCACTAGACTAGGAGATTCTTAAGGGCAAAGGCTGTAAACTTTTTGTCTCCTGTCATATCATCAGCACTTAGCAGGATGCTACTAGATTGCTACTGGAATTGATCATTGCTATTGTTAGTAGATCATTGTTATTTGAATATAAATAGAAATTAATGTCCACAATTTAAACCTCAATATTTAAGATGCATAGTTACAAAATAAAGACATTTCTGTAGTGATAAGATTTTGGTTAAAAAAAGAAAAATAAGAGCTCTAAAAACAGGAAACAATTTCATCTACTTAGTATGATTTAACTACACCCCAGACTAAAGGCAAGATAAATGGTACTGCTATTTAATAAGGTCCTTCTCAATTTTGTGATCAGTCAAATCAGCTCTACAATTTTTAGCAAGCTCTGTCCAGCCCACTTTAATATGAATTCTGTTTTTGTTTTTGTTTTTATAATCTAAGTGGTTAGTTCAGCAGGGTATGGCAGAAATACCACATCTTCCAATGTCGGAAGAACCAAGGTCTGAATCAAAGCTCAGTCTCTTAATTGTATTATGAGTTGGAGATATTTCATCTTCTTGAAGTTCGGTGTTTTCAATGGTCATACAAGCTAGTGGAAGCAATTCACCCAAACACTTCACACTTCGGTACTCTGTACATAGTGACTGCTCAGTGATGTTTATTTCCTTCCCCTTTACAGAATAAAATTGATTTCTGTACCTTTTTATCTGAGCATTTCTTCACAGAGATGGCAAATCCTCTCCCAGAACCACGCGCTTTCCTCCTTAGACTGACAACCAAGAACTCATCAACTGCTGGTTTTCTCTTTAGAAAGTAACACCTTTCAGTCTTCTCTTTCTTTGTTTCGCTAAAACTAAACAAAGTGGTCAATATAATAGATCAAAAACATTGATTTACCTTAAATGCCAACCTGCTGCCACCAGTTGCTGGGAAGTGAAACTACGGACGCTCTCCCCAGGTCTGTGTCTGGGAGGACTCAGCCCCTACCATCCCCCTTGGCCTCTACCCAGCCACCTTCCTCCGCGGTCTTGCTGGCCGCCCTCCTGGCGCCGATTGCACAGTTTGGACTCACTGAAGCAGAGTCACAGCCTGATTGGCTTAGCTCACTGTCAATCCCTACCCTGGCCCCGCCTTCTCTCAAGTTTACACTTTTGTTGCCTAGGAAATGCGGTGGCTGTGAAAGCCCAAGCAGTTTCCCGGGGAAGGAAGCCAGCAGGAAGTGTAGCTGGGGATTGTTTGGTTTCAAGGACATCAAAAATTGCCTCTTGGTTGTATAAAATAATGTTCAGCAATAAATAAATAAATAAATAAATAAATAAATAAATAAATAAATAATGTTCAGCAAATTGCCTTACTCCATTACGCAATCCTTCCTGCCCTCTGTTGCCTCCAGATGGCATCTTGCTAGGGTGTCTCATTATCTCTCAGGTGAGGCTTAAAACCTCCACACACAGGATGCCACGTGTAATTCTAAGTGATTCAAAGTCCTCTCCTTCTGCACAAGTTCACACTGGCAGGATGCCATTCCGTACTGTTTCCGCCCTTGCTGTCTTTTCTCCTTTCTTCTCCTCCTTCTTCTCACTTCTCTTTTTACACTTGTTCCTTAGCAATGAATTTGCCACATTAGAAGCAGTCTCGTGTCCCGTTTAGAAAAGAGCGCCTAACTCACGCTCTCCTTCATTCTTGTACCCCTGACATCCACCCGACCTCATCATTTCCACCCTTTCTCTCCCTTCTGTCATGAAGTAGTCCAAAAAACTAGAACTCTAATGATGAAGGCTGGAGTTCCACATTCTCTTCTGCATTGTACATTACGTGGATTCTCAGACGAGTGTGGCCATTGATTTCTATAATCTCTACAGAGGACATTATATTTGTCTTGTTCACTTCTCACCCTGGCCCTGGAGATCAAAGAGGTGTATTCTCTGTGGATTTTAATAAAGATTTGCCTTGGTTGAAGGAATTTCCATCGGAGTGTGGTTTGAGGAACAAAAAGGGGCCACTTGCAAAATAAGTCCTTTGTCTCTCTTTTAGGATAAATGCTGTTTTCAGAAGGCCCTTCTCTATGGTACATGACACCCACCAAGCAGTAAAAAGCTATTGACACTGGCAAGGTACTTGATGTGCGACCCACCTCCACTTCAGGATAGTTCTGAGTGTCTTCCCCACACACCGTTAGCTTTTCATCCAAAAACATGCCTCCTTACTGCAGCTGACCTCAAGGTACTAAGCTGTATCATTTCATTTTCACTAAGTGAAATTACTAAACTAAACTAACCAGTGAGACAAGACGCACTGCGAATATCGGATAGATATTAACTTTCAATTAATTCATCAGTAAGACTGCGGGAAGCCACATGAGAGGACCAGCATACTCTGGATCATCTTTGCATCTTCCACAGCACCCAGCAGGATGCCCTGTACAAACAGGAAATCAGTCAATGTTGGCTGAGTCAAATTGTTGAACTGGGTAAAATGCACTCATATTAAGGACATTCAAAATATGAAATCTAGAAATAGTTCCTTGGACTAAGTAGAAGTTTGCTTAATACAAGTATTCCATTTACCTCCTTTTTCAAGGATAATTGGTTGACATTTAAACAAATAACCATCTCACAGTAGCCTGCAATTAGGATGTGATAAACCAAACAACAGAAGATTGACATGGGGGGAAAGCACATCCATAAGAGCATTTACTGTAGGAACCAATACATGATCGTAGTTGGTGCTAATGTAGAAGCAGATAAGCAGAAGAATCATTACATAATGAAGGAAAACATAAATGACAAATTGAACTTCATTTCAGAATCTTAAAATGTAGCTCCAAATACATGTATTTTGTATGTAGATACTTACTCTGTGTCATATTTCAGGCCAATTAAAGATCAACAAATTAAATATTTTGCCTGTGTTTATCACTTCTCAATTGTGTTATTTTAGGTTACAATTCTGGAACCACTCCAGGTCCCACTCACAAAATAAATTTGGATTAAGTTTGATATATGAACCTGATCCCTTAGTCTGTTTACCATCAGTCCTCTGATTCTTCAAGAAGTACCTCCAATTCTTATACACACTATCCCTTCTCTCTTCAAAACTGTGCTAGCTCTATCACTTTAGAAATTATTAAAACGTATTTGCGCTTCTAATTATATTCAAATGCAACAATAATTCATGAATACTACATTTTAAGGGACTCCACAGAGTGACACTGAAAAACACATCTCACACATAGAGATTTTCAAATCAATTTTAAAGTATAATTTGCAGACAACAAGCTGCATCCCTTATATGGATATCATACAAATGTTACTCCATTCACCTATTGATGAGCGTGTAGTTTTTTCTTAGTCTGGGAGTTACTATAAATAAAGCTGTTATGAACATTCTTGTACAGATTTCCAAGTAGACATAGACTTTCATTAACTTGAGTAAACACCTAGAAGTGGAATGGCTGGGTCATGTGGCAAGTGTGTGCTGAACTGAGAAACTGCAGAGCAATTTTCCTGTGTGCCTGCACCATTTTCACACCCGACTCAGCAATGGAATGAGTATGAGTCCCAGTAGCTCTGTCTTCCTGCTAACTATTCGTATGATCAGTCTTTTTAATTTTAGTCATTCTAGTAGGTGTGCTATGATACTCTGGTTTTATTTTTCATTTCTCTAATGACTAATGCGTCGAGGAATTTTTCTTTTTTTAATTTAATTGAATTTTATTATGTTATGTTAGTCACCATACAGTACATCATTAGTTTTTGATGTAGTGTTCCATGATTCATTGTAATTTTTCATGTGATTATTGGCCCTTTGCACGTCTTCTTTTGAGAAGTGTCTGCTCAAAACTTTTTGCTCATTTTTATGTTGGTTGTAAGATTTGTTTAGATATCCTAAATACAAGTTCTTTGTCTGAGAAATGTGCTACAATATTTTTTCCCAGTTGATGACTGATATTTTTGTCTTCTTATGCATGTCTTTAGAAGAGTGAAAGTTTTTCATCTTGATAAAATCCAATTTATCAATGTATTTTATGATTTGAGCTTGTGTGATCTGAACAATAAATCTGTACTACCACAAGACTATACTGACTTTCCTTTAGAATGTTCATAGTCAGTGTTCACATGTAGGGTGATGATACACTTTGAGTTCATTTTTCTGTATGGTATGCACTAACAGTCAGTGTCTTTTTGTGTATGTTATTAAAGAAAAAAAATCAAAGGCCATTCAGATATCAGTTGTTCCAGTACAATTTGCTGAAGAGATTTTTCTTTTCCCAATGACTTGTCTGTGTACCTTCTTCATGAATCAACTGAAGATGTCCGTGTGGGTCTATTTCAGAGTTTTCAAGATACACTTGGGAGTGGTAGCCAGAAACAAATCACAGAGGGCTTGTATTCCATGCAGTGAGAGCCAACAAAGGATCTGAACCAGGGAATGATGAGATCATATGTCCATACCATCAAGGCCATGCTGACAGTCTGCCCAATGGAGAAGGTTTCAATGGCATGAGAGTGGAGGCATCATCTCCGCTCACTGGCTGCCTTGGATCAGATTCCCTGGATGGAGGTGGAGCCTAGGGAAGCAGCAGGCACAGAGTTGGCCTCCCTGAGTTATAACTCTTCAGGGAGGATGACATGGTGGGAGTGGGAATAAGAGTCATCAGCTGGAAGCCCCATCCCTTGGTCCCTTTGTTGGTTATGAGAAAAAAATCTTGGCTATTTATTCTAATGACAACACAGAGAAAGCTTCAGGTCTGCCTTTCAAGGAACTATTACCAGAGACCAATTTCAAAGATTTCATAAGAATTGCAGAAATAAGGCCTTGAATTACACACACACACACACACACACACACACACACACACCCTCATGGGACATGCTTGTGGCTCTAGGTGACACTGCAGCAAGAGAACTCACAGAACTCAGTAGACACCTGACCCCAGCTCTGCCTTCTACCCAGAAAAATCTTATCCTGACATTGGCAAGGGTGGGCCTCTTTCCACTTCTGCAGGGATTTTTTTGTAGTAGCATCCTCCATTTGAATTATTTCAACATGTGGTCACAACTTCGAATTGAGCAATTAAAAATTCTGGCGTCTGGGGCCATTCCATATATCTACTGTATTATTCACTATGTTTCATATACAAGATACCGTACATTTGAAACATTTAAGGATACATTGAATTCCACATGAAAACACAAAATCAAATATGATGGCACAATCATAGGAAGGTAAAACATATTAGACAAGGAACCTACCAGAGAGGGAGCCTGCTGTCTAGTAAAGGAGACAGAAAAGTGCAAAAAAAGGGGGAGGCAGGGGCTACACAGCCTTTTTCAGAGAATCAAACACCAAACATATAAATACCCTGGTGGTTAAGGCACATGTTTTTGAGTGTATTTTGTGAGGAACTGAATGCAATTCCTATACATAGAGGGATATTCTGTGCCATATTTGGGGAGCAGACGGATGTTTCCTAAATCAATAAAGTCCTGGGAACTGTTGTTATCACAGGACCTAAGTTTCCAGAGCTTCATAGGGAGGTCCGGGATCTTCAAGTGAGGTTTTCATAACTATATTTTAAGAGGGGCAATCTTGAGAAGGGAACTGTGAGAAGTGAAAACCACAGCATTAGCTGTGACCCAAAGGCAGGCTCCATGTCTGACCAGCAAAGGAGGTACTCTACACAGGAGGGGATTCAGCACAGAGAACCCAGGTGGAGTCCTGGGAGGGTCATCCCTGTCTAGCTGCAGGGTGGAGACCAGACTTCCTGAGCTTGGAGGTGAGGTGAGAAAGAGATACAAGAGGAAAACCCAACATGGAAGTACTGGCCAATATCTTATGTCATATCATGAAATGTGAGAAGGGGCAGAGAGACTGAGAGGTGTCAGACA